ACTATTCCGATGTTGTTATAAGTAGATGGAGAACTCCCGATGTTTTTCTTTGTAAAAAAACGAAGATCATCTTTACCAAAGTAAGGTAAATTATATGGGTCACACCAAATGGCATTTTCATTTTTACCATCAATAACGTGACTACACCATCCAGTACTATTATTATTTCTATCACCAATATTAAAAATAAAGCTATCTGTTGTGTTTTTATACATGCCAAGTAAACCGCCTCCATTCCAATTAAGTGGATTATAACCACCAACTATTTGTTCGGAACCTTTTATTTTAGCTACTACAAGAGTCCCATTGATGTCATTGCATCTTTGATGAAATATATCCGTGTTTAAACCATCTCTACTGCTATAATATAAAAGTTTAAATTTATATTTAACTTTTTTGAATAAACTGTATGGTGGGTCTTTTTTATCGATCCAACTTGCGAAGAGCAACGTAAGCTTTTTATTAATTGTAAATGATTCGATGTTTGAACTTCTTGACGGTAATAAGATTAGAGTTTGCTGTTTACTAGGAGCCACATAATAACGATGAATTTTATTCCACAATTCTCTAGGAAAAGATGCTTGATATGGCGTAATTTTATCCAGATAATCCGTACTAGTGATAGACTGGTATCTTATTAATTCTGTGAAATCTCTTATCGTTAATCCAAAATCTGCAAAATTTTGTGGAGTCCAATCTTCAACATTATCATTATTAAGTTCACGATGTTTTGCTAAAGCCCATTTGAGAACATTATCCCACACATCCAACTCATTAACAACAAAATCATCTCTTTTAAGAATATCCAATAAAATTTGTTTTTCTAATAATTCAAATTCAACTGACTCAAATAACTTTCCACCATTAGCACAAAGATTTTCCATACAAATATCTTTCAATTCAGCAAAGTTTTCGTTTGAATAAATTAGCCGTAGAATTCTAATTAAATTTGCACTAATATAACTCTCGTGATGTTCAATAAAATAATCTTTCGCATGATTGTAAAACGACCTGAGACCAAGCTCATCAGCAGCCACTAGTAATTTCAGAGCATCTTCACCAGTATAATCACTGTAGTCTGTTTTACAGGTGTACAAAAATCTGCACACATAAATATGAATACGTATACATTAACAATGTTTTTAGTGTGTCTATTATAAAATAATTACTTATCATAAACTTACTTTACAATAGTTCCAAAAACTTGTGCACTAATATTTGGTTTCTCAAGAGTGTAGTATCCATCTTGTTTTGGGGCATTGGCCAAAGCATTATTAAAATATGTGCAACGTGAGTATAGAACAGATGAATGAAGATTAAATACTCTTGTGTTTGGTTCTTCACCAACTGTAACTTTCACATCATAATTATATTCTGAATCCAATAGACTTTCAGCGTCAATAAAATATTCTGATAATAATCTCTCATCCATTTTTTTTTAAAAATTAAAAATTGTTTTTTTTGAAAGGATAATAAAAATTGTTTTTTTTGAAAGGACGATAAAAATTTTTTTTTTTGAAAGGACGATAAAGATTTTTTTTTTTGAGAGATGATAAAAAATTTTTTTAAAAAAATACCATATAAATAAGTTTGTAGAAAAAAAATATTTAACGATTTTATTTCTCGTTTTTGCATGTTATCATGATTTAAATCCTGTTTGAACCCAAATCCATTAAATCCATTTCTTTGTTTTTCACAATTTAAAGAAAATTAATTGAAGATCTTATCTATAAATGCAAACAATAAAAAGTCGCTAACCCAAATTTGAAATGAGATTTGCACAAAAAGAAATGTTTTCACGAATCGTCGATTAAACATTATTGTAAATTAACATCAACTTTGGAGAAATATTTCTCCCTCAGATCTGTTTGCCTAATTATTATATATATGTTTTGAATCCAGTTGCGAGTTCGAAATATTATACTGTTTTTTATATCGCAGTAACGTAATTTTAAAATAAAAAATCTTGCATTTATATCCGCCTTTACTTTCTTTGCCGAGGTTCAAATTATCTTTATAAGATGGTCCTATATTAAAAATTATAGGCCACTTGCATAAATCATAATAATATATTAAATATTCATTAAAATATTCTTTCTTAGAATTTCTAATTCAGCTTAAAACTAAACCATTGTTTCGTCAATTTTAAATATAAAACTTTTATCTGTTCAATTTGATATTCTTCGCTTGGTGACTTTTCTTTAATGTGTTAGCCAATTGGATTATATGCACCAACTAACCAATTCAACTGATTCATAATAAATATAGCTTGTTGAAAATTATAACAGTTTTTTTTCAAATATTGTGTTGTTCTTGAAACTCATCTCAAAAGAATTAATTCAAATTTGTATATTATCTCTTTATTCTTTTCATTGATATAACTTGAGATTAAAGATTTCACTTGTGAACTTAATAATTTTCCTGTCGGGTGACCCTTTTGAAATAGTAGAAATTTTGGTTGCCATTTCCCATGGCCAAGATAATATTGAAGAAGTTTTTTTATAAACTTCCACATTGAAAACTTTTTTATAAAGCCTGATTTTATCATAAAATTCACTTGAAGAGATTTGATCAAACCTAATTAACGGAATAATAAATATCTTTGGTGTATTTTTAATTCGTTAAAACACTTTTTTTCAATTTGTCCGATTCCCATCAAATAGCACAATCCCAAATATCAATTTCTTTTGAATTTAAAGCATATTTCTCCAAAATAGATATGAGGATTGAAGTTAATATTTTAAAGATTTGATAAAGATAGATTGAATACATTCTTTGTTTCTACAATTAAATGGTTTTGTAAATCATTAAAATATAATCCATCGCATGCAACAAGAAAATTTAGGTATCAATATTAATAATTCCATTGTTTATATATACATACATATATGTATGTGTCATTATCAAAAAAATTAAAAATCAAGTTAATTTCACGTTAAAAGAACCCCAAACGGTTTGAGAGAAACGGGGTTCTTTCAAATAAAACAATACTTTCTTCAGATTTATTGTTCCAATTATTTGATAAACCAGTTTTGAAATGCGAGAATCTTGCTTTTTAAATTGTGCTTTAAAAGTTTAGCATTCTGGTCTGCTCCAACTTTTATTTCTATGCTATAAAAGTCTGTTTCATTGAACAGATTCGTTAATTATTTACAATTTTACTAATATGTTTTAGGGTCATCCTATATACAGAAAGGTTCTTTTTATGAAATATTAATATACAGAACCTATGTGACAAATAAGAATTTATTTTTAGAGTTGGTAAGCATTCCATAACTCCCACCGCCCCAAGCCTCACAAGTTTAATCGTCACATACAGATAACTGTCACAAAAATTTGAGCTATATATATATTTCCTTTTTTATAGAATAAATTTCCATTTTTGGTAGGGTACTGTATATTTCAAAAAAAAAGAACCTTTCTGTATATAGGATATTCCTGTAAAGCATACACATTTGAATTAATATTTTCCAAGTATGCAAAACTATTAAACATTTTTATTTAAAAAATTTTTTTTTTTCATGCACTCATTTTATACCTCAAAAAATGGACTGAGTGTCACCTACGAGTGCATGATATAAAGAATCTATTTATTATTGTTGTTTGGAATGGAGTTAGTTACATACATAGTGTGCAAAATTGGAATTTATATTTTCAATTTATAGAAAGGGTCATTATATAGAAAGTGTGCTGTGATAGTAAGTTACCCTTATTGTTTGTCATTGAGTAATTTTGATTGGACTCCAGAATATACTATTAATTGGAACTATTTTATTTTTCATTGATCAAGTAATAATCATGAGATCTTTTTACTATTGGAGACAGTTAGTCATCAAAGAATGTTACCTTTACAATTTCGCGAAACGTTAAGAAGCATTTAAACACTTTGAATTCACTAAAGTTAAATAATAATTTTCGGATAGATAAAAAAAAAATAAAAAAAACCACCTTTTATAAATTATCTCTTATTTACGAATTGTATGGATAGTTCAAACCATTGTGAATTGTTTCGTAACCCTTTCTAATGATATTGATGGTTTGGCCAAACCTTTAATTATTGGCTATATTCCTTGGATGGTGAGACAACTCAAGTAGTATGTTTCTTGTATATATAGAGGTTAGCCGCGACGTAGGATGAAGGTTAACGAGGAAAATCTAGCTAGTAAGAGCAAGTTTAGGTTTAAAATCGTAGAATGAGCTTTAAAAGTTTTGGCATTCTGGTTTGCACCAACTTTAACCTCTACATCATAAACAATCTGATTGAAAAATTAAAATTTATTTAATCCAATTATGGTTTTCTGTTAACTTTTGGCAAATGAAAAAAATTTAATAATTAAAATAATTAAATAGTGATGATGATGATGATGATGATGATGATGACGATTGTTCCGGACTTTTTTAATCGTTATTCTCACGCCAACTATTATTCAATTGTTAATGTTTTTCTTTCTTAATTTTTATTAAATAAATTATCACTTCGCCATCATTATAATTATAATGATGCCAATTATGATTACAAGTATATTGATGATGATATAGATTATGATTAAGATAAAGAAGTCTGATAAAAAATTATTTATAATTGGCGAGAATAAAGGTAAACGGTAATTCTAATGATAGAATTATAAACAAAACTTTAACATTAGCGTTAAAAGTGCCAAAAAAATATACCATTGAAAGTGAAATCAAAGATATAACTAAGATCGGAGGTGATGTATATTAGATTATTTTAGATAAAAGTATTATTATGATGATGATTTCTTTTTTTTCATATAAAAATAATAGCGAATGTTTAAGTGATTGATTAAAAAAAATCATATAACTTTTTTGATCCTCATCATTATTAACAAATTTTGTTTGGCAAGGGCAAGCCAAGGGTCAAAAAAAAAAGGCGAAGGAAAGTATTTAAAAGTTTATAAATAAATCATTGCTCTCGTTTTTTTCCCCCTCAACTTTTAATTAATTAATTATAAAAATAATTATATTTATTAATTAAAAAAATGACACGTTTTTCAGCACAATTTGCAACTCTAAATCCATCAATTACAACAATAATGGGACGTGGTAGAGATCATAAAGATCATTGTAAGGTTGCTGTTAGTACAACAGATCGTTGGTTAGGAAATTGTATTGCGAGATGTTTGTTGATGGATTGCAAAAAAAGAAATGTAACTATTCGTTGTTTGGCGCAAAATACCGATTCAAGACATGTAAAAAAATTGGAGCATTTAGGTGGTGAAATTCATAAAATTAATTATGATCGTAGCGAGTCTATAGAAGATGCTCTACATGGTTGTGACTATTTAGTTTTTGTTAGCGAGATTGATCGGGATCGCGTCAAGAAAGCCAAAATTTTAGCTGATGTGAGTGACGATAGAATAATCCAAATGAAAATCATCCTTTAAGATTATTAACACACGATTTTTGATTTTGATTTTTGATAGGCCTCCAGGAAAGCTGATTGTCTTAATTCAATTGTTATGTCAATCGAAGGTGTTGATAAAGGTCATGGCGAACTCTTTGTTGAATTCAGAGAAATTGAAAAAATATTTGAAGATAGAATCAAGAATAATTGTATTTTAAGGTAATTGATTGATTGATTGATTGATTGATTGATTGATTGATTGGATTGGTTGGATTACTTTGGATGAATATATTTATTAATTACAATAGTTGCCAATTTATTTTTATAGATGTGCTTTCCTTGATCAATTAGTATGCACTAAAAATTACTATTGTTATTATTATACACGTTTATATTATCATTAACACAATCTTTCTTCATTATTATTTATTTGATTAGATGTTCCTCTGGACAAAAAACATCGAGGAACGTGGTAAAATTAACATGATACAACGTGAAGATGACGAATGGGCGCCATTACACTTGGATGACCTTTGCTGCTCAGTTATCGACATAATGACACACGAAGGGAAAATCCAAAACGAATTGACAAGAAGACATTGTCACAAAACCTACACGTTAACCGGACCTGAATGCATAAGCGGCAAAGATATCGTCGGAATAATCAATCGTGTCACACATCATCGTGGTGTTCTCGACTACGAACAAGTCAGTAGGCGTGATTTGGAAGAGTACTTGAAAAGTTTGGAAGGCGATGATTATGAACGAGATTTTTACAATGAAAATGAGGAACGTCATTTGTTACAACGCGAGTGTGTCTACTTGTTACAACGTTGTTTGGCAGATTTTCAAACTGGATTTGCCGAATTGTTAAGAAGTAGTCAACGATCATTGGAGAATGGTAGAAATTTATTTAATGAAGGTGTTGACAGACTCGAGACTGGAATTAACTTGATTGTCAGGCGTGATGATGATCTTAACTTTAATAATAATAATAATGATAATAATAATAATAATAGAAGATTTGGTGGTAGAGGAGGCGTAGTTGGAGGCGATATTTTTGACTGGAGAGAAATTAACCTGGATGGATTGGAAGAAGTTGCTAATAGAATAAAACGTAGCGGAATTGAACAAATCCAAGTTTTGAATTCGGAAAATCGTATGATCGTTTTGGATGAGGTTAAAAACTGCATTGAAATGCTTCAAGTCTGTATACCAAGTAGAATTTTCAATTTCAATACGTTAGATCATAAACATCGTCGTGGACATTATCCTCGTCCTTTCCTTCCGTTGAATCGTATTCAAGTTGACATGATGTAAGTAGTTATGTACACGTGGAGAGGTTAGATTGTAATAAATATACAAGTAATATTTTTTTATTTCAATAATTAGTTGCGATTATTTGGAATACATCAAACATGGTAATGCAGAACAAACTGATGATGTTCATAAAATCACGGGACAATCTCCTACCAGTATTAAAATATTCTTTGAGGTTTTTATTCAAAAATTAGAATAAAATAAATTAATAATAATAATAAATCTAAACTTAAATTAACCAAATTTAAGGATAACTCCGATGCTTTCCGTCCTCCCCGTGACAGGCTTGATTTCAAAATGAACAATAACAACAACAGTATGACAAATGCCGGTAAACGATTGGTCCAGCAACAACGTAAGCAACAACAAAGAGGTCGTGGTGAAAGCACTAGTGATGATAGTTTAGATGGTGGCAATAGAAATAAAAGTGGTAGAAATTATTATAACGAGAATATTGATTATATTCGTAGCAGATTATAAATTTTTTATTTGGTCTAGATTAAAAACAACGTTTTTAATTAGTTATTGAAACTGAAAAAAGATGTAAATAATTATTATTTGCTGACAACAACAACAAATAAATAAAAAAATAAAATAAATGGTATTATACATATATATATATATATATATATATATATATATAAAATTTAAATTCAATTTTATTTACTTAAAATTAATTAATTAACTTTATCAATCAGAACTTGGATGTTACACGCATAAGTCTTATTATCTTTTTCCTTTTTTTTTCCTTTTATATTAAATGCAAGTTGATGTGTGTGTGGGATATGTGTGGTGGATTTTTTTTTAAATTAGTATTAGTAATAATCAATCTTTTAATACAAAAGAATTTCAGGGTTCCAAATTTTTTAGTGACTGGTTATTCCAAGATGTATGATGATCGTAAAAAATAATATTAATATTAATATACTATTTATTACTATGTACACGTTAATGAGAAATAAGGTTGGTTATCTTTGATATACTACCATGGACCTATACGTAACTTACACTTGTTCATTATTAGAATGAAAATGGGGGTAAACTTAACAAAAGATCATTTCCACATCAGGTTATCAATTCTATATTTGCAAAAATTGATAGTCTCAAATGATTGTATATAAAAATTTTACTTGATATGGATGAGTTGAACTTTAAGAATGGAATCGCTTAAAAAATATCATTAACTTGGGATCAAAATCGAATAATGGCGGATAAAGAGTTTAGTTCATTTTTGTCAAGCTAAAATTAGCTGCTATCTTAATATAAATAAAACCAAGGGCGGGAGGGCACCATAGACCTCAGACCATATATGCAAATGTGTGGGGGTAAATGGCTAAAGCTCAACTTGAAAAATCCCCTTTGATTTTTATAAATCCTTCCATTTAAGGAAACCAAAATTGCTATTGGCTCTGTATCCGAGACATCACCAAGTGGCTTTGCTCATCATCATTATTGGTATTAGTATTGTTTACTAATTATTAGTTAGTATTAGAATCTATTATTATTATTTTAATACACTAAAAAAGCATAATTTATATAATTTATTGTTAACTATTATGATATTGATCTTTGATTCTTTCTATTCCTTATTTTTATATGATAATAAATAATTCCGTAAGAAAAAAATTCATATTAATATTAAATTTTTTTAATATTAAAAAGAGTTTGCTTGGATTGGTTAACTTTTTTTTGAATTGTGAACATGCATGCATCGTAAACATGTTTCTTTTTGAAACCTTTTTTAATAAATTAAAGGGCACCTACATAAATTTATTATTATTATCATCATGATATTGTAGATTAATTACAATTGTCAGAATCTATTGTTTCTATAACCTGATAGGAACCCCGAAACTTCCCGGAAACATTTAGACACGAATATCATTGTCAAAAAATATAAAAAACATTGTAAAGATATTTTCGATTGGCCAATAGGAATCTTTCTGGACTTCGATTAGAAGTTTCCGAGGTTGTTCAATAATCCCTTTTATATTCTTATTCTTTCACCAAAATAAATAATAAATAATAATAACTATGATCATTGATATATAATAATAAACAATACTACAATAATTACACCATTTACACATTCACACATTTCTTAATTAATCAACCAGTCAAAAGTTTAAAAGTTATTTTTATAGTTTTATTTTTTTCCCCTAAAAACAAAATTGGCGTATTTATTTCTTTTTTCTTCTTCTTTATTGCCAAATAAAGACGTTTCTTATTAGCAACGGGAATAAAAAGGTGTATATTGGTATGTATGTGCGTTTATGTATTTATATGCGGTTTTTCTTTTTTTTCTTTTAAATACATTTAAATTTAATTAAGGAAAAAATAAAATAAAGCCGAATTAATTTTATTTATATTGTTTTGTCGAATGTTTCATGTGATTTATACCTTAATTCTGACGTTTATATACACACGCGGTTACACACTAATTGGTAATTTTCAGGGTAAAACATATAAATATATAAAAAATTTTTTTTTTTTTAAAAACAAAACTTTTTTTTTTTAAAAAAAACAAAAGGTTTTTTATGTATATAAATCTTTTTTTTTTTAAACAAATATTCTCTGCTAAAAAAAAAATATATATATATTTTAACGTGAAATGTTAAAGTCTATTAATTTACATGAAATGGTTAGAGAAATAGGAAATTGTAATGAAATAAGTATTATTAAACCATATCAACAACAACATCAACAAAATAATGTAATAATAAATTTACCAGATATATCAAAAAAACTTGATTTGCAAAATTTACAACGACAAAAAACAATGACAACAACGACACTAACTTCTCCAGTATCTTCCTCTTTTACAACAACCTCTTCCTCTTTATCATCAACTACTACCACAACGCCACCGTCTTCTTATGATGAACCTTTTAATATTAAAAATTATATTATTAATAAATCAGTGCCACCACCATCACCACCACAGGAAATCGAAGACGATGACGACGATCAACAAAATTTTAATAATAATGATTATCATGATAGTAACTTCTTTTCAAATATGGTATCTAAAAAGTTAGAAATCGTTGAGGAAGAGGAGGAGGAGGAAGAGGATGATGATGAAGGAGGAAGGACTAACGAATTAGGAGGGATTGGTGAGTTGGATGAAATTGATGAGTTAGATGAAGAAGAGATTGATGATGAAATAATTAATAATAGTTCCATCATACTTGTAAACAAAAAATCAGCCACAAATAATGACGATCATATAAATAAAAGGAGACTGTTGTTATCAAGTTGTCTGCAACATGTTTTTGACTACTTGAAAGATGCCGATAACGATGAAAAAACTTTATATTCATGTCTGTTTTTAAATCGTGAATGTTTAAATCTGGTAGTTCCATTATTATGGCGAAATCCTTTCAAGTCTGATACAACACTCAAGCGGTCAAATTCATTAATACAAACATATTTAACATTGTTGGATGATAAAGATAAAAAATCTCTTAATAGTATTGGAATAGTAATAAACAGCAACAACAACAATAGTAACAATAACAATAATGATGGCAATCATTATAGCAATAATCATTACAGCAATAGTCGTATAAATTCAAGATATTCAACAACGACGACAATGACAACACAAAGAATTGCTATTAATTACGCAAAATATTTACAAGAATTTGATAATTATCTAATTGAAAATTATGTTAGATCATGGCTAACATCATTATCGTCAAATCATAATGATTTAAATTTCTATAAAAGATTTTTTATAATAAATCAATATCTTTCAAAGATGTTGATAAAGACAGCAGAAAATTTACAAATTTTGAAAATTAGTCCCGATTATAACAATTACGAAGACTTTACCAACAACATCAACAATAAATCTAATGCTAATTATAGTTCACATAGTTATAGTAATTTTGCTACTAATTATAATAATCATTTAGTCGATTTCTCATTAACAAATGGCGCAAAATACTCCTTGTCAAAAGTTAAAACTTTTAGTCTAGATTATCACATTGAAAATGAATCAACCAGGACAAAGGTTTTAAATTTATTATCAATGTTGTCTTCATCATCATCTCCTCATTCTTCATATGTTAGCGGAATTGAAAAAGTAATTTTAAAAATCAGATATTATAAAGAAGAATTAATTAGACCCAAGATTGGTCAATATTTGAACTCGTTTATTAAATCGTTAAGAAATTTAAAATATTTGGAAATTGAAAATTATACTGATATCAACATTACATCATCGATACTTTCTTCTTTTGATAACAACAGCGACAATGGTTCAAATCTTGAATATTTAAAATATGAAGGTATGGTTGACTTGGTCGCTTTATTGAAATTATTAAATAATTGTAGGAAACTGAAGACTTTGGAATTTGATGGATACTTTGATCCAAATAAATTATTATCTGTTAACAATAATATTAACAACATCATCAATAACGTCGATGACAATAATGGAAACTATCAGTTTAATTTCGAAAAATTAATTTTCATGTCGGATATTTCAAGTCAAAATCCATTCAGTTCAACTAGAACATATATTTTATCAAAGTTATTAAAATGTGCTAATAAAAAATTAAAACATCTTTATTTAAGTGGCATAACACAAGAAATATTAGATGTGATCTCGGAACATAACACCGAATTAGTGACATTACACCTGAAATTGATTGATTTAAATAATTTAACATTGAAAAAAATATTAACGTCAACATCAAAAACATTGAAAGAATTATTTTTAGGTGACACACATTTTGATTTATCATATATTGAATCATTGAATAATAATGAAAAATTTATTGTCGAGTTGGCTAGATCTATACCTGAAAATGTTGAAACGTTGGGAATAAATTTTTGGATGGATACAAAATACGTGAAATTATTTTTATCGAATTTATCAAATTTATCAAATTTACGGAAAATAATTTTATGTAGAAATATCATGATCAAGGATGAAGTATTAATTGAAATTAAAGATTTTATTAAAGGGCAGAAGGAGCTGAGGGAAAAGAAAGAGGGAGAAGAATTGTTGATAAATTTAAAAAAATTATATTATTTACCGGAGGAATGGATTAGATTTAATCAAAAATTTATTGGCTTTAGTCAATCAGAAATTGAAAAGGCTAAAGAATTTATTCCTATAATCAAGGAGTTTAATCAAAGAATTTAGTTAACAATAATAAACAATAATTTTTTTTTTTTTAATTACAAGTTCAAATCCATTCTATCTCAATAATTTTTTTTTAATTAATTCGATATTCTTTTTACCCTTGAAAATTTTTAATGTAAAATATTTTTTTAATTGCTCAGTTTTATTTAATTGTTCTATTTTTTTTTTTTTTTTTTTAATAAAAATATTATTTATTAATATTATTTTTTGTTAAAAATTAATTTTTTGTATTTTTACTTGTAATTTTATTTTATTATTTTAATTATTAATCAAGTGTATTATATTGTAATTTTTTTTTTAGTAAATATCAAAATTCCTTTTTTTTTTAATATTAAACAAAATTAAAAACGAAAAAATTAAAAATCTTTAAAAGATCGTAATGTTTTTCTATTGTATAATCGTTCGTTCAGTACATACCTATATCTATCAAATATTATTCAAAACCTAGTTTTCTCTTTTTTCATCGTTTTTCTCTTTTTCTTTTCCTCGTCTAATTTTTGTTTTTCCAATAATTTACGATTTCTTTCTTTTTCAAACTCATGTTTTTTCTGCATTTCTTCTCTACGCATTCTCTCTTCATCTTTTACCACATCTCTATTACGATTCTTTTGTGCCAATAATGATGATGATGATGATGAATCTATAAAAAACCCCAAATTTATATATATCATTACTAATATAATCGTGGTAAATAATCTATAAACTTTAAATTATATATATATATATACCATTCTTGTGTTTGTTTTTGTTTTTATTATTATTATTATTATTACTATTATCATCATCATGACTTTTATATACTATTTCAGCTTCACCATCTTCATTCTCTACAATTTCATCAAAATCATATGAATATTTTGCTAACAATTGTTCACGTTTTTTACGTTCCTCTTTTGTAAGTTGTTTTGTTTTTGTTTCACGTAGTGATAATGTCGTTGGTGATGAAGATGAAGATGAAGATAATGATTGCTGCGTAATTTCTGAATCTTGTGTGGTATTATTATTATTATTAATTATATATATATATATATATATATGAGATAATTATTTATTGTTTCTCCCCCTTTCATCGATCTATTCATTAATTAATTAATTAAGTAAATAATTTTGTTTCTTAAAATACCTTGCTCCAACTTTTTTAATTCTAAAATTTTTTTTTCTTTAGCTTCCAATTCCAATTGCGCTAAACGTTCCTCTTCTTTATAAATTTTCATTTTTTCTGACCACGCTTCCCACGAATCTATGATTTCTTTAACCAACGAATCTGTTGATTTTTCCTCAATAATGATAATAATAACAACAACAACTTATAATTTTAGCAAAAAAAAAAAACCAATCAAAAAAATTTATTATAATCATTTTTTGAAGAATGAATATTTTTTTTTGTACAATTGATGAATAAATAAAGTAGCATGAATACTTACTGAAGCATCCATTAAAAATTCTGAAATAATTTCATATTTTTCTGAATTTTCAACGGTCTCGTCTGATAATATTCCAATAATATAATCTGTAAATGTCTAAATCATAAATAAATAAATTAAATGTCAAGTCATAAAAAATTAAAGCTTTTTTTTTCCTTTTTGGGAAAAAGAAGAAGCTCTATACCTCGTCATTTAATTCAATCTTACTCAATTTTTCTAAAAGTATCCCTCCAAAGCTTTCAATATTCATAATTATGTCTGATTCTGATGATTATTATATTTTGTTGCATTATCATTATATGAGATGCAGATCTTTTAATTATTTCTGTGATCTACGTCTTCACCTTTTTAGCAAATTTTGTGTTGTACACTTGCCAACTACTTTTGTCATGATTTCCTGGGCTCAGTTCACCCACCCACATCACACAATTAAAAAGTTAGAAGCCTAACAGGCGAAACTTTATTATTTTTGATTTGGTTAATAAAAAATTAAGTCACAGTCAAAAGCTGGATTGGTCAAAGCTTTATTATTTTAACCATGCCTATAACCATGCCTACTGACTTAATGATTTCATTGTATTTTCCCTTGTAGAACACATTACCACAGTCTCTGTTATCTATCAGGCAGTGGGGACCATGGATTCAAAGAGGAATTGAGGGTGATAACCAGAGAGCAATTTTATCAACAACTTATTTATACATTCAAGGTTCAAAAATTCTCAGGATTCCTTTACAGATTTGTCATCAATCTTTTCTGAAATAATATTTGTTAATAGTGGAATGATGAAGAGTGCAATGGTCACAGTTCTGAGATAGTGAACATAACAGTTTGATTATCCTATAGCCTGTAAGTGGGGATGTTAATCCTTGGACATGTGGAGGATGATTGAACTGTAGTCATATGTAAGCTACCATGTTGTTAAATAAGTGCCAACAAGTTCCATTTTCGTGGTGGCTGCATGATGATGGTATCTTTGCAATATGATTATTGGTTTAGAAATGAAATCCCATTGTAGACCATGATTTAACCCAAATTATTTTTGCACTAGTTTGATGATGCTTTTGAAGGAGTATGTTGTTTACATGATATGGGAGCTGTAAAAACAGTATGTATATTTCTTATTGTGGTGACAACAAAAATTCTTCCAGTGTGCTAATTCTTTCCCTTTAGTTTGGAGAAAATAGAGTCCAACATATCAGAACTTAAGTCAAAATTAGGAGTAAGTGGTGTTAACTGTCCATTGGGATTAGGCTTAAGATCTAACTTTCACATCAGGAAATTAAAAATGTGTTATTCATAGCATTAAATAGCATACTACCACCATTCATTACTTATTTAGATGCAATGGATAGTATAATTGTAGCAAATAATATTATTTAAAACTCAGCTATTTAATAATTAATAATTAATAACATTAGATTGTTAAAATATTTTTAATAAATAATGAAAACACTAAATAACATAAATATTGCAATCTTTTTGGATCATTTGTATATTTAAAATCATACCACTGAATTAAAGCCAAATCTTCATTTAAATAATTGGAATTTGTAAGCTTAAATAATAATAGGTCCTAGATAAATCTTAATATAAATATTACTGATTGATTAATATAATTGATTGATTTATTGATAAGTAAGTTTACTTCTAGATCCTAAATATGGAACAGATATGAAAGACAAGCATGTTGTTATGAGGGTGCAAAAGTTCAAAGTATGTTTATTATTTTTTATATAAGTTTGTATCTTATAAATTAATTAAAAATGATATATTTTATTTTATTTTATAAAGGGAGTAGATAATAGTGATGACATTATTGTTGACTATGACAAATATGAGAGATTAGCCATCAGCAAATCAAGTGAATCAAGTGATTCTAATGATGCCAGTGATTCTGAGAAATATAACAATCAAAGTGATAATGAATCAACATTTGGTTTTATGAATTTGAATGTCATTGAAGAAATTTATGTTAATGATATTCACTCTGAACAATTATTCTTCACACACATATGTTTAATTCAATGTAAATGTAAATATTATTAATGTAAATGTTAAATATTGCTAAATTTCTAAATTAGCTAAATAAAAAATTAAAATAACACAATGTTTAATAATGAAAACTTTATAAATTTGTTAAACAAGTATTAAGTAATCTTAACATAAATTCTGTATGGGGTCTATTGAATAACATTCTTTTCATCATGTGCTATGAATAACGCATTTTTAATTTCCTGATGCAAATGTATTTTTATATGGTATTTGATTAGCAAAATTCATTGCAGCTTTTAAATGATGTATCTATTCCTGAATTGTCTTGGAAGGGCCATATTTAAATAATATATATATTTTTATTAATATACAGTAAATTATTTATATATTATATATGATATATTGTTAAATACATCACTTCAACTTGTTAATGCTATAAAAAATAAAATAGTGATTTGAAAAGGTATGGAAATAAATAATACTGCAATTATATTACATTTATTTTTTTGACAAAATCATTATTTTAGTGTGCATATTTGACATCCAAATTTCAATGTAAAAACCCCCAAAGATATATAATACCACTATTAAATAAAATTTCATTTTCAAAATATTTAGTATCACAACTATAGTAGCCAAATAAATAAAAATATGTCAGTATTTAAAATTCATCTATATCTAAATCAATCTGATGAGAATCTAAAAAAATATTTATCACAAGAGTGGATATTGTTAATATTAAATTAATAAAAATGAAAATAATCATTGATTAAATGTCAATAATCACCTTTATGGTTACAAATAATTGTTACTTTATTAGAATTAACAGGTTGGGGAAGGTTTGTAAATTTTAATAGTCTGCTAGTATAAACTGCTTTTGGATGGATTGTTGCAGCAATTGTTGAAGGATCAAATTTTATTTCATCCATTTTCTTAAAATTTTCAAGTGGCCAATGTTCAATAATCCTACAAATTTCTTTAGCAGTTGGACGCTTATCTGGATTAGCATCCATGCATTTGAATGCTAGTTCAATATAGAATTTTGGTGTATTGTTTGAGAATCCAGGTCT